GGATTGGGGGAAAATTTGGGAGATTTGTGGAAATTTGGGGGCATTTAGGGGAAATTTTGAGGATTTGGAGAAAATTTTGAGGAATTGTGGGGAAATTTAGGGGGTTTGAGGTGAAATTTTGAGGTTTTTGGAGAAAATTCGAAGGTGTGGGACAAAAATTGGAGAAAATTTGGGAGGACTGGGGTGAAATTTCAGAATTTGGGGGTGAATTTGGGGGGTTTGGAGAAAATTTGAGGTGTTACGAATAAAGTTGGGAGTTAGAAATGAAATTTTGGGATTTGGAGTGAAATTTTGGGGGATTGGGGGAAAATTTTGGGGGATTAGGGGAAAATTTGGGAGACTTGTGGAAATTTTGGGGGATTTGGGGGGAAATTTTGAGGATTTGGAGGAAATTTTGAGGATTTATGGGAAAATTTGGGGAGTTTGAGGTGAAATTTTGAGGTTTTTGGAGAAAATTTGAAGTGGGACAAAAATTTGGGGGGGTTGGGGTGAAATTTTGGGATTTGGGGGTGAAATTTTGTGGTTTGGGGGGAAGTTTGGGGACAAAATGCTAATTTTGAGGTGGAAAATGCCCATTTTAAGGTGGAAAAGGCCCATTTTAAGTTGGAAAAAGTCAAATTTTGGGGCAGAAAATGCCAAATTTTGGGTGGAAAATGCCAAATTTTAGGTGCTAAAGGCCCATTTTAAGGTGGAAAAGACCAAATTTTGGGCAGAAATGCTGCATTTTGGGCAGAAATGCCAAATGTTGGGTGGAAAATGCCAATTTTGAAGTGAGAAACGCCAAATTTTGGGTGGAAAAAGCCCATTTTAGGGCGGAAAATGCCAATTTTGAGGTGGAAAAGGCCCCCTTTTAGGGGCAAAATGCCAAATTTTAGGTGGAAAAGGCCCATTTTAAGGTGCAAAAGGCCCATTTTAAGGTGGAAAAAGTCAAATTTCGGGGCAGAAAATGCCAAATTCTGGGTGGAAAAGGCCGAATTTTGGGCAGAAATGCCAAATTTTAGGTGCAAAAGGCCCATTTTAGGGTGAAAAAGGTCAAATTTTGGGTGGAAAATGCCGAATTTTGGGTGGGAAAAAGCCCATTTTAGGGTGGAAAATGCCAATTTTGAGGTGGAAAAGGCCCATTTTAAGGTGGAAAAGGCCAAATTTTGGGTGGAAAATGCCGAATTTTGGGCGGAAAGTGCCAATTTTGAGGTGGAAAATGCCAAATTTTAGGTGGAAAAGGCCCATTTTAAGGTGGAAAAAGTCAAATTTCGGGGCAGAAATGCCAAATTTTGGGTGGAAAATGCCAATTTTGAAGTGAGAAACGCCAAATTTTGTGTGGAAAAAGCCCATTTTAGGGTGGAAAATGCCAATTTTGAGGTGGAAAAGGCCCATTTTAAGGTGGAAAAGGCCAAATTTTGGGTGGAAAAACGCGAAATCTCGGCCAAAGCCTCACCCTTCTTGAGGCGGTGCTGGTTCTTGCTGTTGATGACCAAGGAGCCCTCCCTGAACTCGATGCCCATGGCGAAGCTGCGGGGACAGCGTCACATCACCACCCCTTTCTCCCCCCCAAAAACATAACCCACCCAACCCCAAAATCCCTCCTTTTCACCCCAAATTCTTGGTGATCTTGCTCAGCAGCTCCGGCTTCTGCTTCTTCACCAGCTCCATGACGGCGCCGTAGACGTCGCAGAGCTTGGCCCCTGTACGGGAAAAGGAGAGGGACCAAGATGGCGGCCGCCCCTCAAGGCGCCAGGGAAGCCCGCGTCGCCGCGGGGGAGAGAGGCGGCGGCCATGTTGGGGAGCACCACGGGGGTCCTCACCGGGCCGCATCTCCTTCAGCATCTCCTCCTGGAGCTGGAGGAGGAAGGCGTAGTGCTCCTGCATCTCCTGTGGGGGGTCCACCATGAGGGTCCTCACCAGGTTGGAGCAGTAGGACTTGTAGCGGATGCCCATGGCGCAGGGGATGGCGCCGAAATGCATGTGGTTCTTGTCGCTAGGGACCGGAAAACACCCAAATTTAGGGGTAACGGCAAAATTTGGGGGGTTAAATTACCCGCCATGGGGAAATTTGGGGGAAAAATTGGAAGATTTGGGGGTTGTGTGGAGGGAAACGGGCTGGTATTGGCGGGGAATGGCTGTGTTGCGGCCTATTCCTGAGGTAAAATTTACCCGCCTCCAATTTATTTGAGGTAAATTTCCACCTCCAAATATTTTTGGAGGAAAATTGTACCCCCCCCCATAAAAATTTGGGGACAAAAGTGGAAGATTTGGGGGTTTGGTGGAGGAAAATGGCCTGGTATTAGCAGGAAATGGCTTCATTGCGGCCTATTCCTGAGGTAAAATTTTCCCACCTCAAATTTTTTGAGGTAAATTTCCACCCCCAAATATTTTTGGAGGAAAATTGAACCCCCCACATGGAAATTTGGGGACAAAAGTGGAAGATTTGGGGGTTTTGTGGAGGGAGACAGGTTGCTATTGGTAGGAAATGGCCCCGTTACAACCTATTTCTGAGGTAAAATTTACCCGCCTCCAATTTATTTGAGGTAAATTTTCACCCCTGAATATTTTTGGAGGGAAACTGAACCCCCTCAGGGGAAAATTTGGGGAGAAAAATTGAAAAATTAGCCAATTTGGGCTTTTGTTTGGAGAAAAACTGCCCCTTATTGAGAGATTTTGGGGGAAAATGGCCCTGTTGTGGCCAATTTCTGAGGTAAAATTTTTCTTCCTAAACTCTTTTTTGGGTAAATTCAACTCCTTGAGTATTTTTTGAGGGAAATTTTATCCCCCACATGAAAATTTGGAGGGGAAATTGGAAGATTTGGGGGTTTTGTGGAGGGAAACGGGCTGGTATTGGCAGGAAATGGTTTCGTTGAGGCCTATTCCTGAGGTAAAATTTACCCGCCTCCAATTTTTTTGAGATAAATTTCCACCCCCAAATATTTTAGGAGGAAAACTGTACCCCGCCAGTGGAAAATTTGGGGAAAAAAATGGGAAAATTGGCCAATTTGGGCTTTTTTTGGGAGAAAAATTGCCCATTGCGGCCTATTACTAAGGTAAATTTTTCCCGCCTAACCTATTTTTGAGGTAAGATTTTACCCCAAAACCTATTTTTTTGGGAAACTGTTCCCTCTAAATATTTTATGAGGTAAATTGTGCCCTCCTCTGTGAAAATTTTGGGAAGAAAACCGGTGAAATCGGCCAATCTGGGGGTTTTTGGAGGGAAATTTCCCCTCACTGACTTTTTTCGGTGGGAATTTAACCAACATGGCCGTTTTCTGAGGTAAATTCCCCCCCAGAACCAAATTTTAGGGACAATTTGAGCAAATTCACCCTCTGTGGATTTATTTCTGGCAAATTTCCCCCCCTCCCAAATAATTTTGGGGCAAAACAGGCGGAAAAATCCCCCCCCTCCGCCATTTATGGAGGAGAAAAGGCGGGAAATCGTCCTTTCCGGCTCCATTTTTGGCAGAAATTGGCTCTTTTTTATGTTAAAAAACCCTTTTGTGGATATTTTCACCCCCCCATCCCAAAATCCGGGGTCCCCCGCACCTGACGACGCTGAATTTGAGGTTGTAGTTGCCCCCGCTCTGGATGATGGGGGGGTAACACATCTCCACCGCCGAGGGGTCGGCGCCGGCCAAATATTTCTTCTCCTCGATGGCTTTCTCCACCGACTCGGCCAATTTGCTGTGGCGGACTTTCTGGGGGTGATGACATCATGATGACGTCACCCAGCCGGGTTATTGTTTAAAAGCCCTCTTCCCCTCCCAAAAAATATAAAGCCCGGGAACCAAGATGGCGCCCGCTGACCTCGTCGGCGTCGACGATCTCCATGACGCGCTCCTTGAAGAACTTGGTGAAGACCTCGGAGGTGATGGCGGCCGCCTTGCGCATCAGGTTGAGCTCGCCGTCCTCCTTGGCCGCCATGGTGTAGGCCACCACCGCGCTGATGTCCACCTGCGGCGGGGGCGGGAGGACGGTGTTGGTCGGGGACGAAAATGGGGGAGGAGATGGGGGAGGTTTGAGACACAGGTTGAGGAGAACATGGAGAACAAGATGGAGGAGGTTTGAGACAGGTTGAGAAGAACATGGAGGAGAAGACGGAAGAGGTTTGAGACACAAGTTGAGGAAAAAATGGAGTACAAGATGGGGAAGGTTTGGGACACGGATGGAGGACAAGATGGAGGACAAGATGGAGAAGGTTTGAGACAGAGGTTGAGGAGAAAATGGAGAAGATGGAAGAGGTTTGAGACATGGGTTGAGGAGAAGATGGAAGACAAGATGGAGCAGGTTTGGGACACAGGTTGAGACACAAGTTGAGGAGAAAAGGGAGGAGAAGATGGAGGAGGTTTGAGACACAGGTTGAGGAGAAAATGGAGCACAAGATGGAGGAGGTTTGAGACACAGGTTGAGGACGAAATGGAGAAGATTTGAGAAGAAAATGAAGAACAAGAT